CACAGCTGCACCCCTCTGGGTGTCTCTGTGGGAGATCCTGGGGGTGGCCACTGTGTGGGTGGGAATGTGTGCAGTGGGTGTGGTGATAGGGGCAGTGGCATTAGGGTGTAGTGGCACAGGAGGGGTGTGCAGTGTTCCCAGGTATGTGGGTGCACCGGTGGTACATAGAGAAAGAGGAAAAAGGAAAGGTGAGGGGAAGGTGAGATCACCTCTGACTTCATCTTCACTTGAGCCTACATTGCCACCAGGTTCCCTCCACTACACCTGAATACAGGATAGCCTAGAGCATGTGGCACAACACTCCCACTGAGTTGTTGAAACCAACATCTCAACCCCCTGATGCCTTGCAATGGAGTAACCTATCAGCTAAGTGATCACTCACACTGCCATACTCTGCTCCACTTCCCATGAATCCCTCAAGCACTGTTTCTGACACCAAGCAGCAAAGGTGGCTGGAGGAAAAGTGGAGTTCAGTGCAGTGCCAACACAAGTCCATGAGTTGGAGGTTGGTCAGTCAGTGCTGTCACAAATAAGGTCTGTCACATGACAGTTCATAAGTGCTTGTGACATCTCATGCATTGACTCATCATACATGTTCATGGAGCATTATGAATGTCCATGATGCATCATGGGACATTATAGCATTTTACATGATGGGGAAAGGTCAAAATAAACATATGACACTCCATGACACTCCATGAGCATTTGACTGAGTCTTCCAGTGCGAAGTCGATCGTGCATTGTATGGAATTCTACAGCAAGAGCGAAATCAGTAGCTGTGGGCATGGGTTAGCTATGGGAGTGGAAATGGGGCGTACTGCTGTGCCCGATCCTCCCATTCGACCTATGGTTCCCCAGTAGCGTGATACCGAGTTCTGGGTAGTTTGGCACTGGAGCCGGTTGATGGTGGTAATGACAAGGAGAAGTGAGGGCACAATGAGGATTGAGGGTTGAGTGTTTGAGGGTCAGTGCCAATGTTGTTGAAGTGCTGAAGGAGAGAACGAAGGAAGGTCAGTTGGGAGGTTCAAACAAGACCACCACCAAGCTGTTCCCTGGTTCTTTAGTTAGGATGGGGAAGTGTACTAGTATTATTTATTGTAAATATAGTACCAATCCGAGTGTTTTGGCTAATTCTATTTTTATAGGTTAGTTTTAAGGTTCCTAGGAATTGACTTACAGATAAACTGAGCCCTGCGGAGCTGTTTCTTTATTGAAATTTCTTAATTTGTCTAGGTGTAATTCTGTGTAGCGTTGTTTAATTTGGAATTTAACTTGAATTTAATCTTCTACTTGGTGAAGTTTCAAAGATTCTATTCAGTTAATGGATTTGGATTGTGTCTGGAGTGTCCCTTGGGTTTGTTTTATTTTTGTCTTATTTTATTGCTTGTTTTAACAGTAGCAAGATAACTGTTTTGTGTTTACACTTTGAAATCTGGAGTGTTAACCAGCTCTCCTGTTGAAATATTTACTTAATATTTCTCTCCTTAATTGCTGCCTTTTACTACAGTGGCAATCTTAACTGTATATCACTTTTTCGCACTGGAGTGACAACCAGAAATGCTTGAGAAAAATAATACTCTATTTTCTTACTTCTCTAGGGGGGGGCAAAAAGTTGCAGAAAGGGTCTCCCTTTTATACTCCTTGGGTCGCCTTCCTTTTTCACGCTCTACCTTCTATTTACAGGATTTATTTACAGTGTATTTTTCTCAAACTGAATAAAAAATGAAATTTTCATGCTATAGTTCTACTGCGCTTTTGCTGTGCTGAACTGCGGTTCTACTGCAGTCAGACTGTGCCTAGAATCCTTATTGTCCTCCCTCGCCTAAGCTATTTTAATGGTTAAATAGAACTTGGCTGCACTGCATTTGTCGCAGTTACCTATTTCAAATTCCCTATATATACCATTAAATTTGCTATGACTCGATGATTCTGAATTCAAACTTCGCATTACTATGCGTATGGCTGTGCTGAGACCTTCAGCTGATTTATTCCAATTTTATTTAGTGACATTTAGTTAAAATGAGACTGAAATGGTAAATGAGTGAATTATTCAGGTTTGAAACTGAAAGAAAAAGTTGCCCGTAGTCAAGAATTACTCAAACAAATGTGTTATAGCTCTCCACTTCATTAGAACATCGTTCCCTAAAATTCCTGCCATGGTCTGTCATAGTTTAGTGGTTTTCGTGAATTTCGTTCATATTCCCTGATTCCCTTTTGTATTATCACATCCTAATCCTCCATATGTATTGTTCATTGTTATAGTAGGTCGTCCTTGAAGATATCATATTTTTATGCACCTTATTTAGGACTCTGGACCTCTTGAAGCTGTCTTCCTGCATGTTTCCAGATTTCTAACTTCATGTCCTTGTATCTCATTCATTTCTGGATGTTTTCTCACGTTCTTGGTATCATAAATTTCCATTTATTCCCACCTTTCCAATGGTACTAAGGTTGTGACCTATTTCCTGGTATTTGTTGAGTTAGCAAAAGTTCACGCGCACATTCGGTAATCATGTGTGTCGTTCCCATAGTCGTTCGTATGCAGGCACCGTTTCCGTTTAATTGTTCAGGATTTATGATATGCGCAGGTGTTTATTTCTTTCATATGGGCTTCTGTGATTTATTTCAGATTTTCCCCTCATGATCTAAGGTTGTTTTGTACTTTCTGTGCTTTGTTTTGACCGGGCTCTTCCTTATTTGGACGGAAATTGGTCTTCGTGATCTGCCGAAGTGCAGATCTCGGTTCTGATGCGCAGGGAAATCTCGGTTCTGATGGCCGGTTCCCTGCGCATCGCCACCCTCACATGTCATTACACATGATTGTCAGAGACCAGATTCGAGATGAAGGAGTGTCTCCGTAGCGGAGGGCTTTGGCCTCAGCGACTTCTGCCAAGAGCGCTGTGCCTAGTGACATGTCCGTGCCCTAACTTACTGACTGGCAATCAGAACCGAAGGGGGGGTAACTCTAGTTGATTTTATTACTGGAGTGTAACCTATGTACAAGCAGGATATATATATGGTTACAGCGAAGACAGGTCCGCAATTGGTGGAGCCGAATGGGGCGGAGCTAACGGGGTTAAAGCATTAGCCGACTGAATATTACTGACGAGTCGGGTCGCGGGGTTAGCGGTAAGGCAGGCGATAACCCAGAAACAGAAAGGAGGGATAGGCCCAAAGGTGGGCTCTGCAGGGCAGGCGAGTGTATTGCCCAGCGGAGGCAGGAGTGTGCTAGCGGACGTCGGAGCTGTCCGGAAGTCTTCAGGGCTCCATACTTCGGGAGGCGTAGGTAATAAATTGAAATGAGGGGGTGGTGACCATCGAGGGGTACCAAGAGGATTGCAGAATACGGGAGCTCCAAGGTTAGTGAAGAAGGAGTGGAGTTAAACCGGAGGGAACGGAGGGACCGGAAGTCGATGGCTGGGGATGGATATGACAATGATGCAGATTTCTATATTCCTGTCATGGGTATAACTTCACAGCGGCTGGACCGTTTGGGCTGAAAATTTGCATAACTATAGTTCCCCATTTTTCATAATTTCCGTGTAAATTTCGTTGTGTGTTTGAATTATGGATCCTACGCAAACATCGTCTTTTCCCTGAGCTCGGACTTTTGATGTCGCTATTCCCGTTATTGGATATCTCATTAACACATGATCCTTTTATTATGAAAATTTGGGAGGATTAAGATTAGATCCCTTCCTTTCTAATGGGCTATCAAGCTTGTCTCGGTCGTTACTGGTTAATTTTTGCGCTTGCCTTTTAGACATTGTCCTCATTTTGCAGGAGTTTTAGTCATATCTCCGTCGTTTATGGGTAGTTTCCCCTGTAATTACTCTCATTGGGTCCGTTTGGGGGACATCTACATTCCCTATTATAGACACGACTTTGAACTTTGCATTAGTTCCTGAGAAATCCTTGTTCCATGGTACTTCCATCCTTGGCTACGTGTGTGGACGTGGGAACGTAGTTTCCATGGAGGTTCTCTGATTGTTTTTATAGTCAAATCTTGGTCGATTGTCCTAATTCTTGGTTTAATATTTGCTATAAATTCTCCCAAGAATTCCGTCTCGTTGATGGTAAGCTTGAAACACTTTTGCTATTTTTCTTTCTTTTGTATAGTCATAATAATTCGTAAAAATTCGTAAAAATTCGTAAAAATTCGTAAAAATTCGTAAAAATTCATTAAAATTCAGGCCCTTCTATTTTCTCATATCTACTTGTCGTATGAGGTTTTGTGATTTATCTGGCATATTTTCATAATGGGTTTTCATAGTGTGACCATTATTTCTCCTACACCGCCCGACCCCCGCTCCGCTTCCCTGCTCCGCACCGCTCCTCCCTCCTCTCCCTCTTCCTTTCTCCTGTTCTCCTTTCTTTCTTTCTCTCTTTCTCTCTCTCTCTTACATGGACCACCTTTCCTGCTGCTCAATGTATCACTGGCACGCATGCCCATTTCCCCTCCTGTATCTTACCATCCCTATATTGCTGCCACTGCCACTGCACTCGCCCTGCACCCACAGCAGGCTGTTATGGAAATGGGAATTTCCATTTTAGACTCTTATGGGTTCTGTATCATGTGATTTATATAGTAATTAAGTTTAACGAATCAACAATTACCAAAAAACCCGCTGTGCTAACATCTGTTAAACCTCATGTTACAACATCTGTGAAACCACCTGTAAAACCTATGAACCGCCTCACCTCCACTTTCCACTTTCCTGCGCCAAGAACAGACGAAAATGGGCGCCTCTGGCCCCATTTTTGTAACACGGGCCCTCTCAGGATCTCCCGCAGAGGCACCCAGAGAGCCGTGGCTGTGTGCGAGGGTGACGTGGCGCACCCCATGTGATTGATACCGCATGTATATAATAACAGCTGAAGTGGGAACCGAAGAAGTAGCCTTCTTCTCACATTCCCACTTCAGGCAAGTAGTGTAGCTTTCCCTTTTAATGATAACTCACATTCCCACTTCAGACTAAGTGGTCGGGGACGCTCACCCCATGCCGCTACGCACAGCCGCTACTTGTCCCACCGGTCCCGCATGCCGGGACCTTGCCGCTTTCGGAGCTGTCCCTGACAAAGAACCATTGCCTAGCAATGCTGGACTTGTGGGGTTCCCTCCCATCTCCATCCACAATCCCGATATCTTTGCATCTCTCCCTGGCCCCTCGAACAGCCAGCCTGCCGGTACTTTTCATGGCATGCCATATGGACTGGTTTCAACCCCAGCAATTCCGCCTTTCAGCTACCCATTCACTGCTCACCAACACCATTTCCCACCTATGATGGGTATGGAGGTGCCAGGGATGTCTCCCAGTGTCCTGACAGCTGATCCACAACAATCGCAGACTTTCTTCAACTTTAATCATATGAACACATAAGCTTCTTATAATCATTCCATTTGTACAATATTTTTGCAAGCTTTCCCCTCATGCTAATGTTTATCTCATTATCTTAATGTCATTGCTTCATTTGTATATACGATTGCACTCATACTCCATATCATGCTAATGGTTGTCTTGATATCATTTGTACATACTCTCACAAGTCTTCATCGCAATGCTACTCTGTTTGCGCAATCTCATTTCCGTTCAATATCGCAGTACCACTCCACACGAACTGTAAGTAGGGGCAGCGGCCGCTGAAGTTAATTCACACGCTTGTATATACAAGTGGATATACAACTGTATATACAGGCTGGGTTTTGCCTATTAGGGGCCAACAAAAGTTATACAAATAATCCACCTAATGAGGCTTTGCCCACTGGGTGTCCAAGGTGGGCGGAACACCAATGGACAGTCATCATAGAATTTGGGGCAGTGAAATTGCTAGGATCATAAAGTGTTGGGAAAAAGCACGCAGTAAGCTAGGATCTGACTTAAGTGGACCAAGTGGCCGCGTTTGACCGCCAATCGACCTTTCCTTTGTCTCAACCAATTTGCATCATCGATCGATCCAAACTCCGACATCATTTTGGTTATGCAGAAACAATAACAATGTGCTCTGCGATCCCCCGATGTGCGACCACCATTTTGTCCTGTCCATCAGGTACATGAGAAAGAGAGTGGCAGCTGTCACTCAACTTTCCACCATGCTCCATTCACATGTTTCAACTCTTTTTGTCTTTTCCTTAGTGCTTTCGTTGGCCTGCTGCCGCTACCTCTCGTACAACCACTGCAACAACGACATCCCATTCATCTTCTAGAGCAGTAATGTGGATAAAAAGAAGAAGATGAGGGATTTGGATGGAAGAATGTATGACCCTTCCGGGACGGACGACCGTTGGGATGTTCATCCTTGGTGGAGATGGGTCCATGGTCCTTACTCAGATGACTGGCTGGCCATTGACAATGAAGATGAAATCAGAATAAAGCGTGTGGATGATAGTTGTCATATCCATACAATCCCAACCTCTGCTCCGGGCTCCCGGAACTCTGAACCAGACTTCCGGAGTCCTACTTCCCTTCCGTCACCTTCTCCTTGCCGACTCCCAAGAGGTTATCCCACCTCCGGCTCTGACACACCCTTCGGTCTGACTCCAGAACATTCCGGATCCGACCTCAACCTCGACACCTTCCAGATGAGCACGCAACACCTATGCTCCTGACTCCGGACCTCCGCTCCAGAATCCTGTTCGCATCTCTGTTTCCGGAACCTCCGGTCTTAGCTCCGACCTCGGACTTTGACCCCACCTCCACTTATATCCATTGTATTGGTTAGCTCATTCCATTTAATTACGTTTGCCAATATTCCGGAGTTTAACTTCCGAGTTCGGACTTTCTGGACTTATGTCGGACCTTGCAACTATTGCATTGCTTCATTCAATTCCGCTATTCTCCCTCATTCCTATTTGGGCTGCTGCTTCCTTTCTATTCAGTCAGTCAGCCATTCCCCACTCCCAACCTCCTTCCTTCTGTCAGGGACAGCTCCGAAAGCGGCGAGGTCCCGGTGCGAGGGACTCGATGGGACAGATGTCGGCTATGCGTAGCGGCGGTCCCGTCGTGGGGTGAGCGTCCCCAACCACTTGGTCTGAAGTGGGAAGTTGGTTTATCATTAAAAGGAAGAAGCTATGGTACTTACCTGAAGTGGGAAGTTGAGAAGAAGGCTGCTTCTTCTGTTCCCACCCCAGGCGCTATTATATACATGCGGTCAGGGTCACGTGGAGGAGGCCACGTCATCTCCGTGCACAGCCGCACCTCCCTGGGTGTCTCCGCGGGAGATCCCGGAGGTGGCCGCTCGGTAGGCAGGAGTGCGCGCGGCGCGAGCGGCGATCGGGGGAAAGGGGTTAGGTATGTAGTGGTACATAGAGAAAAGGGAAATCGACCGTAGAATAAAAAGAGAGAGAAAGGGGAAAAGTGAGGAAAGAGACTCGGGGGGTGATATCGGGGGAGCGGAGTAGGGTAGTGCGGCGCGGGGCGCGGGGTTGGGCGGGTGTGCCCTGACACCTTCCTCCTTGGGCCTTGGCCCTTCACTCCTCCTTTGGGAAACACCATTGAGTCAAACCCTTGACCCTCGGTGTTGCCCCTCCTTTCAGCTCCCTTTATCTCCTTTCGGAGTACCCTCGCTCCTTTTGATTCCAGACCCCTCCTTATATACAATGCGCATAGTAACTTGTAACCTCAGTCCAAAATCGACCTGAAATGCCCCCTAGAGACTTTCCCTCTGCTAGATCCGAAATTAGGGACCCCCAGGACAACCAGCAATGGCACAGCGCTCCACCTGAGTCGCTGAGGCCGAGGTCCTTCCACGCTAAGTCTCCGATTCCACTCCGGAGTCGTCCAAATCAGCCTGTTCTAACAATAGTATGGAGGGCCTGAAACTAGATGACAAAGAAACTGGAGGTGGGGAGGGATGATATATTCGTCCACCAATGATCGCTTCAATGGAAGGATCGGATCAGAGGAAAGGAATGCAGGGAGGTTTGAACCGTAGGTATTGCACAGTATATACATCAGCAAATTCCCTCGATCAAAATCAGGCACTTGATTGGATCTAAACTGTCTGAAGTGAGCAAACCAACTGATTGGCTTTAATAAAGGTCTCTCAATTCATCCACTTTGTAATCGAGCTCTCACTTTGAAGCACTAACATGCGGGGTGGTTCTCCTAGTTCTCCTAGCTTCACCCGACTCATATTCATGATTCCTGCACTCCCAACACTTCTAATGCTTCTAGGCTTCATTTACACACAATCCCTGCACTTCTGGTGCTTCCAGTACTTCTGTGCCTCATGGGTTTTTAAGCTTGCAACACCCATCCTTGTTATGGAAATGGGAATTTCCCATTTTAGACTCTTATGGGTTCTGTATCATGTGATTTATATAGTAATATAGTTTAACGAATCAATTAACCACCAAAATCGCCACTTGTGAACTATTTGTTAAACCACATGTTACACCAACTGTGAAACCATTGTAACCTCTAATGGACCCTCTCCCTTCCTCTCCCTTCTCTCCTGCGCTCAGAACGGACGAAAATGGGCGCCTCCGGCCCCATTTTTGTAACATTGGTGCCCCAACCCCGGTCGCATCCAGGAATCCGGAAATGCGACCTTCTGTGCAGGAATCAAGGCCCCAGAACCTCGCATTGAGGCCCCCAGAGGATCGCCAGAGGGCGATTTTTCTTTTGCAGCAAGTTCTGGAGGAGTTCTCTAGTGGAACGCTTCCAGACGCGCGCGCACCGCTGGAATTACTGCTGGAATGGAGGCAGTTGTCCTTGGAGTTGATTGGGATGGAACACCATTACGATCGGACCACTGGAGCACCCCTCTATCGTCTGAAACGCCCGCGCCGCCACCAATTGCGCTTTATTGTCCAAGAAGCGCGAAAATTCACTCAAGCGGCAGCAGCGCTGGGACTTATGCACCACGATTTCGAGGTGGACTCATGCGATACCTGCGTGGCATTGTGTGGGGGATCTCAGCTGAGTATCATCCGTCTGGCTTGGGACTTTCTCATTGGGAGATTGGCGAAGATTTATTCACATTTTGAACGCGTCAGAAAGGCCGCTTCCTCATTTCCATCTGAAATAGCGCCTTCTAGCCCCATTCCGACGCACACCCAGCCACACCCAGCCGATCTCCTTCCCCAATCGCCCACTCCAACACCATCCAAACCCCCGATTTCGCGTCAGCTTCATGCAATGGCGCGTCCGCTTGCGCAGACGTGTCTGGCTCATGAACTGGTCGATTTTGGGTCAAAATCGACACCCAAACCGGCGATTTCGTCGCGTTTGGTCGTTCCAACTCCCCTCCCAGCTCCTCAGTGCCCTTCAACACCGTCACATCCGCCAAATTCGACGCAAATGCGAATTTCGACGCGTCTGCGGCTCCCTCCTCCACACCCGGTCGATCCACCGCCCATTCCCTGGCACACCCGGCCCATTTCCGTGCGCCCCATACCCTCTCCAGTCCCCCAATCGCTGTGCCGCCCCCAGAAGCGCCGCGTCCCCTCTCTGTTTCTCCTCCACCTCTGCCGATTCCGACAAATCCAAATCCACATCCGCTCCCTCTCTCCCACCATTCTCCCCCACTTCCCTCAGTGTGGCCACCTCTCTGCCGCACTCCAACTCCGTCTCCGGCTCCACACCCATTCATGTGTGGTGTGGGTCCACCTCAGCCCCAGGTCCACTCTGGGGCACTTCTGCCTCCCCCAAGGCTTTTGGGGCCTATGCGACCACCTGGTGAGCCACCTCCCTGTGGGACCATAGGAGTCTGGGGGGCTGAGGCCTCATTTACTTTATTTCTTATAATTTCTTATAATTTTGATGTTTTATTTCGTAATTTAAACCTCATGCCAAGCTTTCCCACTGGGTTTTGGTGCTGGCTGAGGGACTTTTTCTTTATTGTGAGACTTCTCTCAACCTTTCCTTTTTCTTTTCTTTCTTTCAATTTGGGAACTGTTGTCACTCTGCACAGAATCCCCTAAGAGTCTGGGGGGCGATGTTATGGAAATGGGAATTTCCCATTTTAGACTCTTATGGGTTCTGTATCATGTGATTTATATAGTAATATAGTTTAACGAATCAATTAACCACCAAAATCGCCACTTGTGAACTATTTGTTAAACCACATGTTACACCAACTGTGAAACCATTGTAACCTCTAATGGACCCTCTCCCTTCCTCTCCCTTCTCTCCTGCGCTCAGAATGGACGAAAATGGGCGCCTCCGGCCCCATTTTTGTAACAATCCTAGTCCAGATGAACATATATATATATATATTTGTTTTTCTGTTGGTCTGGAAGTCACATTCAAAAGGGAAAGTGCGAGAACATGGGAAAGGACAAGGTAGGAAAGCACAAGAAAATAAGAAAATGGAAAGGTGCAAGACAGCAGGAAATAATAGAGGGAGGGGAATCAAGAGAATGAAATCAAGACCGTCAAAATTCTGCCAAAATGGTCATTATGTCAATCCCACCCGCTCTCACAACTCAATGGCGCCATAGCAAGAGCCGGATCAATAGTAACCTAGGAGTACAAGACTGTTAGCAACATTGCATCTAGCTGTATGATGCATGCTTACATCCACATTATCGTTGCAATGAGGAGCCATTGCAGTGAGATGATGATGACCATTCATACTAAATTGAGACGGAAGCTGGAATGGGAACTCCTGAGTTCGCACCTACAGGGAAAGCAGGAAAAATATTGTTCCTGTGGAGTGATGAATTGATTGTCACATATACATTCGGAAGTCATGCCGACATCGAGACTGAAACCTTATTAGGATGCCCAGGAGGCAGCTTGGGAAAAACCTCAGAGTGGGCTGCAATGTAATGTGAGCGCCACCACTAGAAATGGTAACCTGAACCCAACTCACATTGCACTGGTTGAACTAATTTGGAGCTAGGCCCTGCCACATCAGTGGTTCCATGAGCACTTTAGTTGCTTTCTGTTTGTGGTAGGCTTTTGGATCAGAGGGAAGTGTAGACAGGCACATTGTTTGGGAATTGCTGTCTGACATGGTGGGAGAGACATCGCGAGATGGTGAACCCTCAGCAGACCCAGGCTGGGAATCCTCCTTACTTCCATCTGAGGGAATAGCGGCAGCTTGAGCCCTTTTTGCAGCAAGGTTTGCTTTCCTTGTTTCGGCTGCTTTGCGGCTGCGCTCTTGACTCCGTTGCTTCTGGTTCAGGGTGGGTTGACGAGGAATAGCAGGCTCAGCCATGTTTGTTGGGTCAACTTGCTTGGGTTTAGAATTGCCAGTTTGTGTGCGGGTGTTGAGACCTTTAGGAGGGACTTGAACAGCAGGAGTGCAGAATAAAAATAGAATTAGTTGAATCTAAATAGCGATTCAAACTCCGACCTTCAGAAAGAATGTCAGACTCCCTGAGCCTAGCACTGCATGGGTGCATCTTCTGTTGGTTCTGCAAGCAGCCATCCTCTCAGCAAGGTGGTGGCCTGAGTAATCATATCTGGTGCAGCAAAAAATGTTGGGAAAAAGAAAAGCGAGAAATACGAGTCTTGGCTCATCGCATTGCATCAAATTCAGGCAGACACAATATAACAGGCAGTAAGTAACTGTCTGATAATGAAACTGATCACTCACTGAAGCGTTCTGGCATTCCAGATGGGCCCCATCATCCACAATCAGGAGGCCGAGGCGGAATGGACAGCCACCCCCCCCCAACCCAACCCAATGGCCAAGATGAGGCCCATGATACCCACAGCAGTGGAGTTGATACCGATGACAGCCAGGATGGCACCCATAACAGCAGAGATGACACTCAGAATCTTTGGAGCAATAGTGGCTGTTAGAATGGGCTGATTCAGACGACTCCAGAGTGGAATCAGAGACTGAGCATGGAAGGACCTCGGCCTCAGCGACTCAGGCAGAGCACTGTGCCATTGCTGGTTGTCCTGGGGGTCCCTAATTTCGGATGTAGCAGAGGGAAAGTCTCTAGGGGGCATTTCAGGTCGATTTCGGACTGAGGTTACAAGTTACTATGCACATTGTATATAATGAGGGGTCTGGAATCAAAAGGAGTGAGGGTACTCTGAAAGGAGACAAAGGGAGCTGAAAGGAGGGGCAACACCGAGGGTCAAGGGTTTGACTCAATGGTGTTTCCCAAAGGAGGAGTGAAGGGCCAAGGCCCAAGGAGGAAGGAAGGAGGTTGGGAGTGGGGAATGGCTGACTGACTGAATAGAAAGGAAGCAGCAGCCCAAATAGGAATGAGGGAGAATAGCGGAATTGAATGGAGCAATGCAATAGTTGCAAGGTCCAACATAAGTCCGGAAAGCCCGAACTCGGAAGTTAAACTCCGGAATATTGGCAAACATAATTAAATGGAATGAGCTAACCAATACAATGGATATAAGCGGAGGTGGGGTCAAAGTCCGAGGTTGGAGCTAAGACCGGAGGTTCCAGAAACAGAGATGCGAACGGGATTCCGGAGTGGAGGTCCAGAGTTGGGAGCATAGGTGTTGCATGCTCGTCTGGAAGTGTCAGGGCACACACCCTGACTAGCCTGGACCCGGACCCGCGTCCAGACCCGCTTCCACCTGCCGCACTTCCCGCATGCGCGCACACTCCACGCGCTGCATGCTCCGGACCCGGTTCCTACCCCTTCATGTGACTTCCGGGTATCCCCAGAAGTTTTGCTGATATTGTGGCCACTGTGGGAAGATGAGAAGTTAGCTTCCTTCTCATCTCCTTACCCACAGTAGGCAAGTGTACCTTACCTACTGCTTTATCTATTCATCTCCTTACCCACAGTAGGATGTGCCCTGGATAGGGCTGGTTACACCTCAGGGCTGTGGACCATAGGGGAGGGTCATGGGGACCCGGAATGTTCCGGAGTCGGACCGAAGGGTGTGTCAGAGCCGGAGGTGGGATAACCTCTTGGGAGTTGGCAAGGAGAAGGTGACGGAAGGGAGGTAGGACTCTGGAAGTCAGGTTCGCAGTTCTGAGGCCGGAGCAGAGGTCGGGATTGTACGGATATGACAAGTTGTATGAATGTAAACTTTGCTACCAATGCTCCATCTAAAGTGTTTGATTAAAACTGAGGCGAGAACCCCCTTCAAAAGATATGTTCCCAGCTGAGTTCAGTTCCAGGATCAGGTGGTTTGATCACTTTGAGGAAACCAGTCACTCTGTCATATCCCAGAATCCCGACCCCATGCACTCCCACCACACCACACCTTCCTAACAACTTCACCATCCCCTACACCATGCCTCCCCACTCCCCAAGTCACCTCCCTTCCTAACTGTCTCAGCTCCGGTCTGGTTGCAGCACACTGAACCTTGGCCACTCCCACCCCGGAAGCTCGGTCCCGAGTCGGAACATTCGGAGACTCTGGATTTGCTCCAATATCCTGACAGACCTCCGACATCCTGTGACATACCCCTAAACCATTTCTCCACCCATTTCATTTATTGGAGTCACCCAACATCCTTCGGATATGCAACTCCGCTTTCGGAGCTACCCACATCCTTTGGTGACCCCTCTCACGTCATCTCTTATTAGTCACCTTCCATTCTTAGCACGACTATCTTCTTCTTACCATTCAGTTGGCTAACCCCCTCTTACCCATTTCTCATTCCCATTCATTTTCCGGCCTCTTACTCCACCCTCGACCCGACACCTCAGTTCCCTGTTAAAGATATCATTCAGCACCTTTCAGTGTTCTTCTATTATCATTCGGACTTTGACTAAGTCCTTCCCATTCTGTCAGGGCACACACCCTGACTAGCCCAGACCCGGGCCCATGTCCGGACCCGCTGCACTTCCCGCATGCATGCACGCTCCACGTGCCGCATGCTCCGGGCCCGGTTCCTACTCCTTCATGTGACTTCTGGGTATCCCTGGAAGTTTTCCTGATATGGTGGCCACTGTGGGAAGATGAGAAGTTAGCTTCCTTCTCATCTTCTTACCCACAGTAGATTGTGCCCTGGATAGGGCTGGCCAGACCTGAGGCTGTTGGCCATAGGGGAGGGTCATGGGGACCCGGGAGTTGTCCCCTGACACATTCCCCCTTATAAATACCTGTAGATTAGAACCTGTAGTTTTCCTCAGTTCTAATCTCGACTAAAATGCTACCCAAAGTCCCTCTGAGTGAATCCTGTCCCCTTTCTACAAGATACCTCAGACATAAGAAATACAAGGACTAACTGAGACGTAATGGAGGCACAGTGCTCCCTCCGAGTTGCTGAGGCCGCATCCTTCTTAGAGCCTCTTGTACCATCCAGCAGAACCAGGCTCCCTGGAGAAGCTTCGGTCCACCACCGGAGCTCTCGGATCCCCCTCTAGTTGAGCCCTGCCTGCATTCGGACTCACGCATTTTCCCCTACGATCCGGGTTTTTGACACACTCCTGCTAGTTTGGATATACCCAAAGTGCCTGATTTGTAAAATTTGAACCAAGGGAATTTGCTGATGTACTGTACTACATAGAGGTCCGATGTTGTTAGACATTTCAGATATGGTGGCTGGGTCATGCGTGTGGCACAGTGGGAATTAGAGTCGCGTAAAAAACCATTTTAAAGATGGTAAAATACCTTCACTATGACAACGATTAGAATAGTATTTTACCATTAAGACTATGGTCCTTCACTGAGTTCCCATTACCATGCTAACGAGGATAAAAGACCTATTTTTTCGTAGTTTTCTACCATCTTAACGATGGTAAACGGTCACTTTATGATGGTTGTATTTGGTATTTTACTTCACGGGTCTGGTAATTTATGATGATTGTGGATGGTAAAATACATAATGGTTCATGGTTATTTGGGGCTATTAACATGGTAACACACAGTGAAAATGACATTGCATCTACCAGATTGCATTACCACAAATAGCATTAATTGTGAATGAGAAATCGAGCTGATTTGAGCAGTGAGCAAGAGGTGAATGGGGGCTAGATATGAACGTCAATTCAATCCTGATGAAGAAAGTTGATTTGATACAGCACGGACCGCGCAGCCTAGTAAAAATGCAGGAAGCTTCGGAATTGAGAGTAAAATGACAATCACAAACCTACAAGTGGCCGAGGATTTCAACTCTGACATGAGGCATCATGAGGTACTGGATAGAACCTTGTCTTCCGAGATGGTTCAAGCACATCAGTGGGTTGGATGTGTACTTTCAGCTCTCAAACTCTGGCTGCTTTTGCACATTTTGATTGTTTCCTGGCATGAAAGGGTGTCAGAAAGGTGATGGAGGTGAGGAAATGGGAATCTTGACCAAACAACACCACAAACAAGTTGAAACAACCACGCAAACTTTGCCATTGCAGGTGGAGGGTGTGGGGAATGCCATGATGGATGCAGGAATACTTGGTCCGGGGTTTTTCAGGAGAATTATCATCGGGCCCATCTGTGGTGTCGTTCCGTAAGAGTGTTCATTGGATCTGAAGTCCAGATCATATGCTTTCAAGAAGGAATATACATACCAAGCAGTGTCGTGTGAGAACCCTAACTTTTGCAGGTAACTATGCATGGGCACTGGTCAGGGATGAGCCCAGAAGAAACTAAAAATAGTGGGCATACTCCGGTGCCAGACAACACCCTGCTGAGCGGATGCTTGGGCTCTCTCTTCATGGATGGTGGGTTGAGGTGACACAGTGGCTGGAGAGTGGGCAGATAAGAGAAAAAATGTGCACAAATAGAGGCACACTGAAAGCGGAGGAATCCATCACGAATAACCATGAAATCGACCCCTTCATCAAGCAGACAGGGGGCCGATCAAGGAGCCCAAAAATGGCGCATGTATTTGCAGCACTGGACTCAGGATAAAGGGACTGAAAGGCTGCCACAAAGGTGGGTATCGCTTGGGGGTGTAATATGCATAGAATCACCAAGATCGGAGGTGCCAATCGCACAACTTTCCACTTGCAATGCTCAACTGGACAGGTGTTGATGTCATATCCATCCCCAGCCATCGACTTCCGATCCCTCCGATCCCTCCGATCCCTCCGATCCCTCCGGTCTACCTCCACTCCTTCACTAACCTCGGAGCTCCCGATTCTGCAATCCCCTCGGTACCCCTCGATGGTCACCACCCCCTCCTTTCAATTTATTACCTACGCCTCCCTAAGTATGGAGCCCCAAAGACTTCCGGACAGCTCCGATGTCCGCTAGCGCACTCCTGCCTCTGCTGGGCAATACACTTGCCTGCCCTGCAGAGCCCACCTTCGGGCCTATCCCTCCTTTCCATTTCTGGGTTATCGCCTGCCTTTCCGTTAACCCCGTAACCTGACTCGTCGGTAATATTCAGTCAGCTAATGTTTAACCCTGTTAGCTCCGCTCGGCTTGGCTCTGCCATTTGCGGACCCATCTTCACTGTAACTATATATATATCCAACTTGTACATAGGTTACACTTCAGTAATAAAATCGACTAGAGTTTACCCCCCTTCAGTTCTGGTTGCCAGTTAGTAAGTTAGGGCATGAACACGTTACTTGGCACAGCGCTCCTGGCATAAGTCGCTGAGGCCGAAGCCCTCCACCACGGAGACTTTCCCTCGTCTCAACCTGGTCTCTGACAGTTGAAGCATGTGAAAAACAAACCAAGGCCTAACCACACATGTCAAAGCTGCCAGGCATGGATCCAATGTGTATGGTGAGTGTATGGTGAGAGAGAAGAGGAAGTTCAGTAGGTCCGGGAATTTCCGTTCAGTTCGACTTTGACTTGAGATCATTTCTGACAAGTAAAGATGGCAATGAAATGCCACATAAGGTTGCATCCAATACTGGCTTATCTTTGTGAGGTGTTGTGAAAATGGCCTTCAAGGGTGGGATTGAGTGTCAGGGCAACCACACCTGACCATACAACCCCAGAACCACCTTCCCTGACCTCCCCCATTTCCCTCATCCTCCCATCTTTACACACCTTTCACAACTACAGCCCACACACGAACCCATGGGAAAAATCACATGGGTCAAGGCAAGCAACTCGCCTTAACCCATGTGACACCTTTTCCGCATCATGGGAACATGCTTGGCTCCTACCCTTAGTCATGTTATGAACTGTACAGTACATTTCCCTTTATAGTAGCCAAGCGGGGAATGGGGAAACTTACCCTTCTTCTCAACTCAATCCCCTCTTAGGCAAGTTCTAGCTACCTTCCATAATACATGACAACTCAATCCCTGCTTAGTGAGTTTGAGGAGCTTGGGGTAGGATCCAGCACCTGGCTGCCTGGGACACCGCAAGTGTCCAGTTCTGAGGTAGGGCCGCCCCCAGACAGAGGCCGGGCCCTGACATTGAGGCATGTACTGCCCACGGTACCAAGGGTGATGTATTAGCACCCCATGCTCCAACTCCCCAATCAGACTTCCTGGTGGTCTTATCCTCTTTGTATGCGCATGCCAATAGAATATGTCTGGGGAGTCAGTTTGTAGTGACAATGAGGTGAAAATATGATGATTTTATGCACCTGCACAAGTTACCATGGTACATGTTGTAAAATACTTGCCATGAAAAGTCGGTTCCTTGACTCGCAATTTTGATTTGGTAAAATACTAGACTCCAAAAACCATCGAAATGATGGTAAATGGTCAATTACCAGAGTAATTGTGGTCATTTACTGAGAAATATTTCCCACAGTGGTGGCATCTGCAGCGAGTTTGCTGAACCAAGTCCAAAACATGCAAAGCCCACCATGGTTGACATCACCCCAACACCAATATAGATTAATATCACACTCTTCAGACTTGGTGCTCCACTCGAACACATGTGGCGACGATTTGACATGTGTACTGCTTATCAAGTGTTGAGTCAAAGCTTGATGTTGATTGCTCTTCCGTATTGGAGTTGCACATCCCCAAGCTGTCACTGCACACCATTATCCCTTCACTTCCCTGACCCAATGCACCGGATAGTGTCGACCTGCCGACTCCATCTTTCCATTGTGCCAACTTGCATAATCCATCCAGACCTCAGGCTTGATCAACGTCATCACTTATGGTACCATGGGGTGCAGACAAATGGACCGATACATCAGCAATGAGCAATGGGAGGAGAAATGTGTTGGGTGAAGAAATGGGCAGCTTTGAGGTGAAATTGTAATTGTAAGATCATGATGCATCTGTGATTCGTTCTGAGCATATCGGCATGTAGATATTTTATCCATAGGTTGCAATCAAGGAAATTGAGGTTGGATTTGTTGGTGTTCTTGAACTGAATATATATCCATGCCCATCATGTGCAGGCAGCAATGTGGAGGATGCAGTGACGAAGAGAATGTGCTCAAATGTGGACCATTTGTGCCTCAGAATGATGTCCGAGATTGGTAAGAGCTCCATGTAGATTCTTGACTGATCTGGCCAATTCTTGGGTGTACGCTCCTGGGTTAATTGTGACTAGCTGGCACCGGAGTTGAACACTTTCTTCAATGAATGGGCATGTGACACTGCAATGTGGTAAGTAGCTTTTGTATTCAATGTAAAGTCACGGTCTGCTTTCAATACAAAGAGTTACATGCTATCCCGAAAATTTGCAGATGACACTTCAACTGGTACACATTGGCAATGGCAGTGTTAGAACATGCGGATTCGGACGACTCCAGAATGGAATCGGAGACTTAGCATGGAAGGACCTCAGCCTCAGCGACTCAAGCGGAGCGCTGTGCCATTGCTGGTTGTCCTAGGGGTCCCTAATTTTGGATCTAGCAGAGGGAAAGTCTCTTGGGGGGAATTCAGGTCGATTTTGGACTGAGCCCAAAACGAGTATGTACAAGTGCCGATATATATAATGGAGGGGGCAAAAGCACAAGGAAACAAAGGGGATCCGAATTGGAATGAAGGCACCCGAACGGGAACAAAGGGATGACAGAAGCGGTGCAGTACTGAAGGTCATAAGGCAGAACCTGTGATACGTCCAAAAGGAGGTAAGGAGGGCGAGGCCCAGAGGGGCAGGAGGATGAGGAGAAGTGGGGATGATGACTAACTGGCTAGAATGGGAAGAAGCAGCAGTCCAAATAGGGATGAGGGGAAAACGCGAGAGATACATTACAAGCGGCGAAAGTGCCGAAGATGATCTGCGAAGCTCGGAGGTTGCGGAGCTTACACAGGCAGGGTTGAAAGTCTGAGGAATATTGGCAATGGTGTTTACGTAGTATGAGGCCACCAATGCAATGGACTAAGACCGAGGTGGAGTCAAAGTCCGAGGTAGGAACTATGACGGAGGCTCAGAGCAAAGGTACGAGCGGTGCCCGAGTAAGAAGTACAGGATAGCAGTGGAAGGCTGTAACTTGGTGGGAGGTTGGCGGAGGAGTACCAGAGGGAAGAGAGAGGAGAAAGGGAAGAGGGAAGGAGTGGTGGAAAGGAGAGTTGTCAGGTCCGAAGGTGAGTATTGGAGCGGATGGGAGAAGTGTAGGAGGATGATGGAAGGGTGGAGGTGTTGTGAGGGAGGAGCGGAGGAGTAGGAGGAGGGTGGTGAGGGGGGCGGTGTTCAGTCCGAGGTGAGTATCGGAGCGGACGGAGATAGGGGAGGAGAGGGAAGGAGGAGTGGAGGTGGCATGGGAGGTAAGAGGAGGTGTGGTGCCAGGACCAAAGGTGAATATTGGAACGGACAGCGATAGGGCAGGACTCCGGAGGTGGGGAAGGAGGAGGTCCGGAAGTCGGGTCGGGATCGGGTATGCACGGATATGACAGGCAGTACACTTAGGCATTTGCCAAATTTGATGCAATCCTCAGAAAACAAATTCTGAGACACATGAGGTCCCCATGCTGCGCAAATTTTTGGAGTCGCATGTGACTCTTTGTATTGAAAGCAGAACGTGACTTTACATTGAATACAAAAGCTACTTACCACATTGCAGTGTCACACACGCATCCATGGAGTGAAAATGACTGGGTGTCAGGGCACACACCCTGACTAGCCCGGACCTGGACCCGGATCCGGACCTGCATGTGTGCTCTGCCCCACATGCTCTGCATGCTGCATGCTCCAGGCCCGGTTCCTATTCCTCATGTGACTTCCAGGTATCCCCGGAAGTTTTGCTGATATTGGGGCCACTGTGGGAAGATGAGAAGTTAGCTTCCTTCTCATCTTCTTACCCACAGTAGGTTGTGCCCTGTGTTGAAATTCTTGTTTCTTGGTACGCTGTGGACCGACCATTGAATACAACGGACAATATTTCTTGTGCATGGACATTTTCTTGTAGGATTGCCCGATGCTACCATTTATGGCGACCATGTTGATGGACACAGTCGAGGATGGCTTAAAAGCCGCCTCACGCAATTTTTCCCTCTTCTCTCCTCAGTTCATGTACTTGGAACTGAGGTGAGATATCTATCTCTTTTTGTCCTGTATGTCTTTCTGATGATTGTACATACTACCCTAGCGCTTATACGCGACTAGGTGATTATCAATCTTATCAGTTCATGTACTTGGAACTGAGCACTTATATGTGACTAGTTCATAATTTCAATACCCTGGATAGGGCTGGTTACACCAGTAGGCTGTGGACCATAGGGGAGGGTCATGGGGACCCAGGAGTCGTCCCCTGACACTGGGTACAAGTCTGATGTGGCGCCTAGTGTGTTTTTGGCAGTACCAAAGCCGTTAAAATGTATGTAAACACACGTAGCAGCGAGCTCAAAAGTCCTGAGTCACGTGACCTGTGGCCACAATGCAAAAGTTCAACCTGGCCCTGCTGGGCAACTGTACATCAAACTCTACCACCAGTTAGTTGCCATTAACCCAGGATCATATACCCCAGATTTTGCCAGGTCACTCAACAATCTATATCCTGCTCTTTCGGATCTTGGATGACACTTGGAGGTGCTTGCATCCATGGAGTGAAGATGACTGGGTACAAGTTTGATGTGGTGCTTAGTGTGTTTTTGGCAGTACTGAATGTATGTAAACATGTGTAGCAGTGAGCTCAAAAAGTCCTGGGTCATGTGGCCTGTGGCCACAATGTGAAAGTTCTACCTGGCCCTGCTGGGCAACTGTATTGATGCTTTCTCCAATGAATGGGAGTGCCTCTGAGGGTTGTCTGAGATCTGAAAGAGCATTATGTAGATTGTTGAGTGACATCGCCAAATCCAGGGTGTATGATCCTGGGTTAACAGCAACTAGCTGGCAGTAGAGTGTGATGCTTTGTTGTAAATGCAGCGTTCCATATATGGCAACCCTCTTCAGCAGTGAAGGAGAGAATGAAGGAAGGTCAGTTGGGAGGTTCAAACGAGACCGCCACCAAGCTGTTCCCTGGTTCTTTAGTTAGGATGGGGAAGTGTACTAGTAATATTTGTTGTAATTATAGTACCAATCCGAGTGTTTTGGCTAATTCTATTTTATGGGTTAGTCTAAAAGTTTCTGAGAATTGACTTACAGATAAACCAAGCCCTGTGGAGCTGTTCCTCTATTGTGATTTCTCAATTTGTCTGGGTGTAATTCTGTGTAGGATTGTTTGATTTGGATTTTCATTTGAATTAAATCTTCTACTTGGTGAAGTTTCAAAGATTCTACTCAGTTAATGGGTTTATATCGTGTCTGAAGTGTCCCTTGACCTTGTCTTATTTTTGTCCCATTCTTATTGCTTGTTTTAACAGTAGCAAAATAACTGTTTTGTGTTTACACTTTGAAATCTGAAGTGTTAACCAGCTCTCCTGTTGAAATATTTACTTAATATTCCTCTCCCTAATCGCTGCCTTTTACTACAGTGGCAATCTTAACTGTATATCACTTTTTTCGCTGGAGTGACAACCAGAAATGCTTGAGAAAAATAATACTCTATTTTCTTACTTCTCTCGGGGGGGGGGGGTGAAAAGTTGCAGAAAGGGTCTCCCTTATATACTCCTTGGGTTGCCTTCCTTTTTCATGCTCTACCTCGTATTTACAGGATTTATTTACAGTGTATTTTCCTCAAACCGAATAAAAATGAATCTTTCACGATATAGTTCTACTGCGCTCAGCTGCGCTGAACTGCATCTCTACTGTGGTCAGACTGCGCCTAGAATCCTTATTGTCCTTCCTTGCCTAAGCTATTTTAATGGTTCAATTAGAACTTGACTGCACTGCATTTGTCACAGTTTTCTATTTCAAATTCCTCATATTTACCATTAAGTTTTCTATGACTCGGTCATTCTGAATTCAAACTTCGCTTTACTTATGTGTATGGCTGTGCTGAGACCTTCAGCTGATTTATTCTATTTTTATCCAGTAACATTTAGTTGAAATGAGACTTGAAATGATAAATGAGTGAATTATTCAGGTTTAGAACTGAAAGAAAAAGTTGCTAGTGGTCAAGAATTGTTCAAACGAATGTGTTATAGCTCTCTGCTTCATTAGTATATCGTTCCCTAAAATTCCCGCCATGGTCCATTGTAATTTAGTGATTTTTGTGGTTTTTGTCCCTCTCCCCTGATTCCCCTTTGTATTATTGCATCCTAGTTCTTCATATGTATTGTTCATTGTTATAGTAGGTTGTCCTCGAGGATATCATATTTTTATGTATTTTATTTGGGGCTCTGGACCTCTAGAAGCTGTCTGCCCATACATTTTCAGGTTTCTAACTTCATGTCCTTGTATCTCATTTATTTCTGAATGGTTTTTCACGTTCTTGGCATCATAAATTTTCATTTATTCCCACCTTTCCAATGGTACTAAAGTTGTATTCTATTTCTTGGTATTCGTCGAGTTAGCAAAAGTTTGCACACACATTTGGTAATCACATGTGTTGTTCCCATACTCGTTTGTATGCAGGTGCTGTTTCTGTTTAATTTTTCGAAATTTATTGTATGCGCAGGTGTTTGTATCCTCAATATGGGCTTCCATGATTTATTTCAGATTTTTCCCTCATGATCTAAGGTTGTTTTGTACTTTCTGTGCTTTGTTTTGACCGGGGTCTTCTGTTAGAACTGGGTGAGGGTGGACGATTCCGGAGGAGAACCGGAGACTTAGCAAGGAGGGACCTTGGCCTCAGCAACTCAAGCAGAGTGCTGTGCCATTGCTGTTTGTCCATTTGGTCCTTAATTTCATAGGCAGTGAGCAGGAAGTCTCTAGGGGGCATTTCAGGTCGATTTTAGACTAAAGGCCTAAAACGAGTATGTACAAGTGCCAATATATATAATGGAGAGGGTGAAAGCACAAGGAAACAAAGGGGGTCCGAATTGGAACGAAGGCGTCCGAACTGTTAGAATGGGTGGATTTGGACGACTCCAGAATGGAATCGGAGACTTAGCATGGAAGGACCTTGGCCTCAGCGACTCAGGCGGAGTGCTGTGCCATTGCTGGTTGTCCTAATTTCGGATCTAGCAGAGGGAAAGTCTCTTGGGGGGAATTCATGTCGATTTTGGACTGAGGTTACAAGTTACTAGGTACATACATTGTATATAAGGAGGGGTCCGGAATCAAAAGGAACAAGGGTAGGATGAAAGGAGACAAAGGGAGATGGAAAGAGGAACAACACTGAGGGTCAAGGGTTTGACTCAATGGTGTTTCCCAAAGGAGGAATGAAGGGCCAAGGCCCAAGGAGGAAGGAAGGAGGTTGGGAGTGGGGAATGGCTAGCTGACTGAATAGAAAGGAAGCAGCAGCCCAAATAGGAATGAGGGAGAATAGCGGAACTGAATGGAGCAATGCAATAGTTGCAAGGTCCAATGTAAGTCCAGAAAGTCCGAACTCGGAAGTTAAACTCCGGAATATTGGCAAACGTAATTAAATGGAATGAGCTAACCAATACAATGGGTATAAGCGGAGGTGGGGTCAAAGTCCGAGGTCGGAGCTAAGACCGGAGGTTCCGGAGCGGAGGTCCGGAGTCAGGAGCTTAGGTTTTGCATACTCGTCTGGAAGGTGTCGAGGTTGGGGTCGGACCCGGAATGTTTTGGAGTCGGACCAAAGGTGGTGTCCGAGCTGGAGGTGGGATAACCTCTTGGGAGTCGGCAAGGAGAAGGTGACGGAAGGGAAGTAGGACTCCGGAAGTCAGGTTCGGAGTTCCGGGAGCCCGGAGCGGAGGTCGGGATTGTATGGATATGACACCCTTGTTGTTATGATTATTGTCCCCTTTTATGGGAAGTTTCATTGTCCTAATGCTTTAACCTTTGTTCATTTGTACCACACAGAGATGCATATAAGTACGATGTGTAGAGCTGAGAGCGGTATCTAATGACATTGTGATATCACACTCAGGTTGGGTTGCAATGCTGCAATTATAACATGTCTTACTCTTGGGATGCGGCAGCTGTTGCGACATGGAATCCAGCATCATCGACATTGACTTCTATCTTGCCTCTCACAGCACCCACATTGCCCTCAACATCGTTCAATCCGCTGTATCAGGCATCGTCTCCATTCAACCTACCACCATTCTGGGCGCAGGGATGTCAACTTTCAACTAGTTGGGCAACTCCGATTCCAGCTTCCCTGTTACAGGAATGGAGTCTCTTGCGACTGTGTCGACTGAACGTCCACCATGGTGGGTCCTCCTTCTGTATATCTTCCCTTCTCTTTGTTACCTTCTCCCCGCTACTCCCCTTTCTACACGTTCACTCCATGCTAAGCTTTCCCTTATCGGGTTTTGGTGCTGGCCGGAATATTTATTCTATTTCACGAGACTTCTCGCGATCATTTCTTATTCAATAGTTAGCGTCACGTTTATGTACGGCAAGAGCCGAAAAGACGGAACCTAACGAATAACACACCACCCTCTGCTGTGCAACAACTGTAAACCTCCTTGTGCCAACACTGTATCGTCTGTGTAAGATTGTGTATGTCTCGGTCGTCGTCTATATGGGTGTCAGGGCACACCCGCTTGACCTGCCTCCACCCGGGCCCACCTCACCCGGTTCCCCTTCTCCCACCCCGCACCCCTCCTTCGTACCCCTTCCCCTCTATCCCTCTCCTATTTCCATTTTTTCTATTTCTATTTCTATTTCTACTTCACATGGACGACCTTTCCTTATATCCATGTATTATTGACCCGCCCACGACGCGCACATGACATGCCTGGCCCCAGACAACCCTGGACGGCTCTAGGGCGCAACCTAGTGTGCATGCGTGCAGCATACACCCTCGGGATCCCCCACGGGGACACCCGGGTGACTGTGGCTGTATGCGGGGTGACGTGGCGGACCTCATGTGACCCAAGCTGCATGTATATAAATACACCTGGGGTGGGAACCGAAGAAGTAACCTTCTTCTCAACATTCCCACTCAGTCTAAGTGGCCAGGGATCACCATCCCATATCGGGGCTGCCAGTACGCATGCCCGATCCACCCCCTGTGAGGTCCTCAGCACCAGACGCTACGCCCGGACCGCCTCGACCCCGGACGCGACCCTGACAATGGGTCATCCCTGCCGAGGTTGACGACTCTAGCCACGGATCATCGAGTTCGCATGTGACTCAACTCAGGTATGCACGATCACCTTTTGCTGCGACTCATGTCGTTCGCCCAGGTACTGGGCCCGCGTCTGTCTCACCTTATTATGGTGAGCATCTGGTTAACTCTACGGACGTATGGGTATTCGATACAAGCCCGTTCCCTTCGTCGCCGGTACGCTCTCACGAGCGCCAAGTAGCCATCGAACCCACCACGTGTCGTTCGACCTACGAACGACTAACTCCTCTGTCACCGGTACGCTCTTACGAGCGCCAAGTATCTGTTGACACATATACAGACTGTCCACCAGATGAATGGTCTCATACCTCATTGCTGGTACGCCCAACTGGGCGCCAAGTATCCGTCAACCCAGCCTCTGGCAGCTCCCTCAAGGAGCTGGAACATCACTCGTTGCCGGTACACCCAATTGGGTGCCAAGTACCCGTCAATC